GACATTAAAATTAGAAAGATAATATCATAGGAAACATGTGTACTAAGTTTCAAGTTGATTGGACTTCAACTTCATCAAAAACTACCTTGACCAAAAACTTTAACCAAAAACTTTAACCTGAAGCGGAACAGACGGACGGACGGTCTCGGGGTCAAAGCAGTTCAGATATATATTAGGACAAGTACAGAAACGTACATTTAAAGACACTATAGTATCCCATTTATTGTTTTAATTTTTAAACAATTATTTTCTTTCGAAGGAGGATAAAATTAAACAAGATCGATAAGTGCTGTTCCCCAAGGATTGACTTTGGCCTGGCAATATGGTAATCCCTGTACTCCGACTGTTAAAACTCATGATAAGAGGTGGCTCGTTTGTTTGTACGGGATATGTAAATACTCAGCCATGTCCGGTTGGGGAGGCCGTTAAATTCAACCGTCTGTTTTCCAGTGACAGGCGAAGTTCCCTCCCTTCATCCCGGTCGATCCACTGTAAAGAACCTACCTATTCGATTTATTTTTGTCCGTTTCTGAATATACCAGAAATAACAACTGGACTTAAGCAAATAACAGTTAATCAATCATTGATGAAAGCTGGTTTATATCAGAGTCAAATTTATATAGCATACTTCCGTAACAATGTTCAACGTAATTCACATTTGAATTATATACAGTTATGTTTCTTCCCTTTTGTGTCTATCCAGGCACTCCGGCTTCCTCCACTGAAATAAAACTGGCCTCCCCGAAATAGCCAATAGTACTGAAAAAGGCGTTAAACATCAAAAAATCAATCCTTCCCTTTATGAATATTACAAGTATTTTATAGCCTTGTGACATGTTATATATAAATACGTAGGTCACATATCTATCATTTGTTTTAAATTTTCATGGTTATAAAAGACATAAGAGTGAGGCTTACATCTGCATCAATACTTAAACGGAAGTTATACAAACGTATGCTACTGTTTTATGCGTGCATGACACATACTTTTGTTTCTTAAATAACCTTCATCCGATATGCACTAGACCAAATATTTGAGAAACAAATGTGATATTCGGTTGTTTGTAAATCAGAAAGAACCTAAACAGAACATTCAAAACTGGTAGAATGTCTGCTTTGCACAAAAAAGAACTTTGAAGTTATACACTTTGTTACACTTTAGTACAATAATGAAACTTCAATACTGAAATTTTATTCAGAAAGCATATCATTTAAATCATGCCTGTTCCAATCAAATTTATATTAATTTGAACGATGGGGTCACTGATGACAAAGATTCCATTAGTAGCGGCACATAAACATGATAGAGACAGACATGAATTGAAACGTTTGAAACATATTTCAGTATTAGACAATTTGCATGGATCTAAAATGTTGATACGCGGAGTCTGCATTGAAATCAAAGGAATAAAATTCGAATTCTTGAATTAATTGTGACTAGTCTTTTATTGACCCTGAGTTTAAGAAAAAAAATGTTATTTTTAAATAATAATCTGCAACAATCTCCAAAAAAAAAATGAACGGAAAACGTTAACTTACTTTGTATTGATTTATTGCAATGTATCCGATTCGAAACTTAACCTTGTTGATCAGTTACTGTAAATATCAAAGAAAAATATCAATTTACAGGTATTGACATAAATACATTGCCATGACAGTTTATGAAACTTAAGATCAGATATCTCAACCTCAAAGTTATATAGTTTAATTGACGCGAAATTCACATTCTAAATTGATGATGCAAGTAAAAAAAAAAAAGAGAAAAGGAAATCGACTGTGATCCGATCTAATTCAATGAAAGGGAACTTAGTGCTAACTTTTATTTTCTTCCAAACTAAAGAAATATAATAAGATTTGTCAAGACTTAGAACACTGTAGATTTGTATCCTTGAAGTTTTGCATTTTTATTTCCTGAAGAATCACCTGTCCGATTTGACAGTTTTAATGAGTATTTTGTTTGAGAGATGTGATTGAAATACGGTCCTGATTATTTTCTCTCGAACAAGGAGGATAACACTAAACAAGATCAAACTGATGTCATGACTATTGATTTTACGGCTATCACACTAAAAGTAATAAACTTTCGCATAAAAACTGGAAAGCATGTTAAGGTTTTTAAAATATCTTATGTTTAAAAAACATAAAGATAATATTGATATCGAGGTTCGACGCCTTTGAACAATTCAATAAACTCATCATAGATACAAGGATTAAACTTTTGCACGCCAGACGCGCGATTCATCTACAAAAGACTCATCAGGGATGCTCGAATCAAAAAAGTTTAAAAAAAAAAAGGAAAATTAATGTACGAAGTTGAAGAGTAATGTGCTAGTTGTATTGTTTCGTTCCAAATTAAGAATTATATGTTAGCGTCAAATTCAATACAAGTGGTTAAAACAAATTGAAAAGGGGATTTGCTAAAGGTGAGAACTCTGTCTAGACTCCTGGAAATAATTATTTAATCTGAAACCAAACCAAGAAATGTTTGTTATGTAAACGCATGTTAGTACAATATACAGTAAGAATGCTTTTGTTCTTTACATTGTTAAATATACATAATTTTGTCCTACAAGAATGACTGTGTAAATTGCTGAACACTTTGGTACCGTCTATAACCACTATAATGAAATTGACGTAAAACTTTGTCAATAGTTAGTCTATAAGCTAATATAGGAACTTCAAACTAATTACAACGGATAAGTCGGTCGCCAACTATTGTCCTTGTTCGTAAACGTCTTATCATCGCTTTGCTACTTGCAATATGTAGTGTTGTGAGGTCTTAAGTAAATAATCAAAGCATACATACGTTCTTAAAGTAAACATTACTTTTTTGTTTAGGTATGTAAGCGTATAGTCTAATTTATAGTTTACCAAGGTTTTATTATCGAGCGTACACGAGGAAGGTTTTACCTAAAGTACGTGCAGTGCGTATTTATAGCAGTATTTTGCGATTATTTTTAATACCGTCTCACTCAGACGTCACATATATAACAGTAGCATGCTGTTAATTTGAAAGTACTTTTCCTCAATTATACGCATACATATTATTATGTGTTTATTTTGAATTCCATCTCATTTAAACAGGCGCTTTTATAACGATTTTATGTTTTTTTTTTTTAAATATCTCCCTCAGACATGCGCATTTTTATCGGTATAATCTTTTTTATTTTGAAACTCATCTCCTTCAGACATATGCTATTTCTTTTAGATGTGTTTTTCGCTGAGCACATACTGATTTTGTGTCATGGATCATGGATACCCCATATCCTTTCTTTCCTATTATAAACTAAGAAGGGTTACGAATGAAAATTAAGTTATTTCTAAAACGCTTTGTTTTTTTTAAATTTTTATTTAAAAAGCTGGATAGAATGATATATGAAAATGTATGTTCATAGTAATCTTTTGTTATAATATACTCAATTTCTATAGGTGTTGTCCTGGGTATTGAGAATATAGTTCACAATTACATTAATGGTACCAATCTTTTTGCACCAGTTTCTCATCCAAAATATTTGAAAGTCCGAAACCTAATACAATCGCTGAAAAGCAGACAAATATAAAACGCAAAAGGACCAAAAGTAAAGCCAAACATTGACAAGGTAACACAGATATACTTGAGCTTGAACAGTAAAGTATCTATGTGTAAGAAAATATTCAAAGAAAATGAGAGAGAGTTACGAACTCATTAAAGATACCATTATAATTATTTGGTACGCCCGACTCGTACATGTGTTTTTAATTATAAGAATTACATGTTTAATATCGGAGAAGTAATTTGAAATATTGTCGTTTTTGAAATTTTCGATAAATAGTTTTATGGCAATATTAGCTTGTAACTGAAGGGCCTTGTTCTTTGGCTTTAAGGCATACTATTCAATTTGAAAATTTGTATATTTGCTTTCAATTCGTATATCAATGAAGATTATATAATCGGAATTTCATTTTCAAATCAAAAGTCGCAGAATGTGTGACTTCAAATTTATAAATGAGAAGAAATACGAATATTGTTAGATTCTGAAGAGAAGAAATACGTAGATTGTTAGATTCCGAAGAGAAAAACATTTCAAGATCCGATTCCGTAAAATAAAAAAAAAACTGAATATAACTTGTTTTGAAAAACGCAAAATTATTTCATCAAAGTTGGAGTATGAAAATATGACATGGCATGTGTATGATTTTTCCATTACAAAATATTGCTAAAGAATTATTTAGTTAGCAATCATTTCACAGTAAACGTTGTTGGTGTATGTATTTCAAGAGATTGGGGTAACTCGACAGAATAAAGGAAAAACTCAGGACGCAGAGTTAATGAAAAAAAATCTATTTCTAATCTTCCATATTTCTGCTCTTCACATAAAGATTACATTTTTTTCAGTCACTATCAACAGACGACCAGACCCCCCTTATTTCACGCGTATGGCCTTTTATTCTTTTATACCTAAATATGTTTTTATCTTCTACCTTTTACCTCCGTTACTGATCAGTACTTTATATTATTTATATAATGTTGTCTGTCGATATTTAATTATAAATTTGTTTTACAACCTATACTAGATCGATAAATATAAATAAATAATTCTTCATAATTATAATTTTGTTCTTAAGAGAATTGTTACAATTATTGACTCACAGAAAAATTGTGCATTTTACATCTTTAAACGAGGCGGCAGAAAGCTTTGGGTTCTTATTTCGATTAAAAAAATTATCAAAGATCGAAATGTTGACAGGCCGGTAGGCAGGCAGGAGCAATCTATTGCGATTGAAAATTTAAACAATAATTTTTCTATGGTTCTAATCCTCTAAAACATAAGCATTTTATATTATCATGTAATTAAAAATACTACATTTTTGGTATCTTTAGTTTCCATTTTTTTCATGATTGCTTGAGGATATATTTGGTAATATGGCTACGTGTTTTTGTTTTCTTTGGTTATTTTTTAGTAACATTTTGTTCATCTCTAATGCCATATACAAAGAAAAAAAAACACAATAAACTTGAAAAAATCAAAAATAATTGTATTCAAAATCAACTGTAGTACACAAAAATAGTATTTAAGTATTTAAAGCTGTACAATAAATTTTAAAGTGTGTAATACGAGATCACATGTGAGTAACATCCTATTAAAACTCACTTACTATAAGGTCCAAAATGTTCCGAATGGTTTCCCAAATGATTCAGGTGATTATTCGCATGATTTGTCTGATAATTAGGACATTCATCCGAATGGTTTCCTATATTATTCATTTCTAATCTAACCTCTTGGGTATTATCGGATGACGTCTCGTGTTTTGCACTACCGTTCATATCTGCCTTAGACTCGAAATCCTCACAACGATCAGATTTGAATTTGACATGCATTAAGAGTACTAAAAGAATCATCACAGTATACAATATGGCCGCTATTACGAAAGGCATTCCCGCGAAAATATTTAGGGTATAACCATATATTGATGTAAAGACGACCGCCGTAAATTTTGCTATCGTTTCACCGGTTCCTAAGATGGAAAACATCTTTCCAATTTCATTTTCATGGACCAGTTTACTTAGAAGTGAACGGACGGGAGAGTTAATTATTCCAGCAAGTGACCCAACAATCACAGCAACCCATACCATCCAGGATTCTTCACTCCATGCCAAGATCAAAAATCGAATCGATGCACATAACATTCCAATCATACTTATAGTTGCATCATTTAACTTCAGGTAGTTAGAGAAGACTGGTAGAAATACTAGTAACACCACACCCATAGAAGCATTATCTAAAGCAGATAAATATCCAAACCATGACGTTGGCCAGCTGAGAGGGGACCTTTCAGTGTAAAGTAACGTCACGTCGGTCAGACCAGTTCTACAGGTCTGATGAAGCAGTAGAACGGCGAATAAGGCAATGATACCTTTTCTTTTGTTGCCTTCTCGTTCCTTTGTCAGCACCTTTATAGAATCCGTGACATTGCTGAGTTGACAAAAAGAATTGCATGGCAAGCAATCGCCTTCATCAATGGGTTGAATTGTTTCTTTGAGAATACCTAGAGCTAGAATGACGACTAGTATATTAAGTACAGAAACCATCAAGTATGTTATCAGAATTGATGTAGTGTCGATTAATACACCACCTAGTAAAGAACCAAAACACATACCTATAAACTGCATAGCAGCTAAAAATCCTAACTTCTTTGTTCTTTTTTCGGCGTCTGTAATATCCGTTACATAACTGTTGGCGGCCATTGTAATCATTGCGGTTTTTCCGAAGCACCCATGGACCACTGATCCGATTAGAAAAGACGGCAAAGCACCACTAGCTGACATGTTCGCTCCCATGTAAAATAAGACAGCAAATATAGTTCCTGTACTAGGCATCACAAATGGAAGTTTTCGGCCATATTTGTCACTCCATGCGCCACAAAACATGCCTAGTACTAATGCTGGACAGTTTGTGAGGAGCTTGTGAAGTATCAAGTAAGTTGTTGCCTCTTTCTGGACTATATCTTCTATATCGCTATGTTCTTCGATGTGATGACATTTCCCATGGTAATCAGGGAACATCGAAGTACAAACGATCTGAGGTATATTTGGACGAAGTATTGCATCAAGAAGAGCATCACCAATATTGTAGAGTAGAAAAATAATATCTATTTTGCAACCATCAAAACAACCAGCTTGTGCTATGCATGATAAATATGAAACGGATGATGATATGTACTCTGTGAACATCCGCAGCCTTGTTCTAAAGCTGTAGACAGGTTGTGTTGGCATTGTTATCTAGATTTCGTCGAAAGGTATCAAAAAGTCATTTAATATCCATCTATATGATTTTAACTACTTTCGTTATGATGTTTCCGGAATCACTCTCAGGTGGCAAATGATACATTTTCCTTCTTCATCCTATTTTTTCTAAAAAGAGTTGAAACTTTATCATCCAATCAAAGGTGTGCTCTTTGATATTTCCACTGTCAACAGTTCTAGAAGAAAATAGATAGTGAATAAAAACAGGATTGTGTTCTGTGACATCGATTTATTCTCATACCTTTTAAACCTACGTTAACCAATACTCAAACTGTTGACTACCAATTAACGGGTAGCCCTGCCTTTTATCACAAATATACTTGATATTTATGCTAAACATAAGCATGTACAAGCGTTTGCCATTTAAAATGAATTGTCACGTTCTTTCTGTAATTTACATCGCTATAAAATGTAGGAAAATGCGTTTGAAGCGAGAAAGTCTGTTTATGCTTCAATGACTGAAATTATATAAAATTGATACTTAAGCGAGCTGATTATTGTTAAATAGCAACTATGAAGGAAGAGAACAAAAGAAATACAATATTTCATGAAAAATATATGAACGTATGCATTAAAGTTGCGTAGATTTGTTATTATCAACATTCTAGTGTTAATTGTTGTATGTCAATTAATTTTAGTTTTGAAAACTCATTCATGTTATACTATTAGCAATATAGAGAAATCGTCATTTCGAAATCTAGTCATTTAGAAATAACAATTGTTCCCTTATTTCATAACCAAAGTTCGTTAGGTTTTTTATTGCTTTTTGTGCAGATTTTTCTATGTAACATTCCTTGCATAGTATATATAGTTTCGACATCAAAATATTTCTCTATCATTACTTCCTTGGTATCTGAAATTTGTCACCTTTGCTCAAATAAAAACTTAAAAGGATATACAATTTCAAATTATAAAAAATATAGTTCCAACATAAAGAACAAAACAGATATTGAAAACATTTAGCAAAAATGAAGATAATTTTCAGAAGTACTTTGTATCTGAAGATCGGTACTTTGTGTCTTTTGTCAACTTTGTGAGTGATAATATTTATTTAGTCCATTTTCTATTGCTTTTTACAATTTATTTTATTGTTTTGCTGTTACATCATATACTGCCCAAGGTTAGAAGGGTGAGCGCTCACAAACATATCAATTATGTATGGCTTGTTCAAAGCAAAAAGCCTGTACAGTGTTTGTCATTGCTTGCCGTCTGAAAAGATTTTTTTCCGCTTAATGTTATTTACAGCCGTTAGTTCTCCTTTTGAAAATTGTTAAAAAAAAACCATATGTCCCTAATACGCTTCCATAGCGTTAGTTGTTTCTTGAAAACCTTGTCTCATTTTATTTTTGTATAGTAATAGACGAAATAGTAGCTTTCGAATAAAGGAAAAGAAAGGAAATATGTTCCAAAATCGAAATAGGTTTTAAAAATAGTATTAAAAGAATTAAAATATGTTATGCGTATGTCTACTGATGTTTTCTAAAAGAATCCAACAGTTTTCAATTTTAGTTTAACATTTCGATCAAGAAAGCTCTTAGAAATGCATTATGTTGTAACAAAGCTCCAAGTATATCAAAACAAAAGGGAAAGGATTATAAAACACAAAAGAAGCAACTTAGCGATTTGAATAAATGGTTTTACTCCATAACACGTAAACCATGACATAATGTTAACAGTGTCTTGTACAAAAGCAACATGAAACTCTCAAAAATCGATGGCAGATAGCTGTGAATTTTTATTATTTATGCAATGGTGTGAGTTTGGTATAGAAATATCTCTAGGCCTTCAATTTAACATACTTTTTTATTTAAATTAGCTTTACACAGTCATCAAGCGGAAAGACTTTATGATATATCGTATAAAGATGCAAGTTGTATATATACATATACACGATATAGTACAAAACAAAACGGAAATGATAAAATACATAGGGCAATACAAGATCAGGACACACATCGAACAATCAGATAGGCAAAAAGGGATCAGGATGAGATTTAAGGTAGATTAACTGTATACCGCCATCTTGGATTGTAAAACAGCAGTACACAATTGGTCTAGTTCTTTGCTTAAATCTGCAAATATTTAGACAGATTGGCAATTAATGTGTAAGACTATTAGATAAAGAAAAATAAGTGATGTATTGCATTATTTAGACTGTTTTAACAAATACATCATATGTGTTTTGTACGATTCAATTTTCAACTTAGCCATATAAGGGGAGATAAGGAGGTTTATCTAGCTATAAAACTAGGTTTAATCCACCATTTTCTACATTAGGAAATGCCTGTACCAAGTCAGGAATATGACAGTTGTTTTCCAATGTGTTTGAACTTTTGATTTAGCCATTTTATAAAGGACTTTCTGTTTTTGAATTTCCCTTGGATTTCGGTATTTTTGTTATTTTACTTTTTCCTTAAAGTTAAAATTTTATACTGGAATGATAGTGAAATTTTCATTTTTGTCTTTTAGCAAGAAAACAAGTTCGGTGACACCATTTTTTCTGTCTATTTTCTTAAAGCATTTTATAATACATATCTTCTCATATTTTATTTTAAAATTCTATCTAATGGATTTCTTATGATACGGTATAAACATGTCGAAGCCAATAATATTGTCAGTGATGGTCTATTGTTATGTCGTAATGTTTTGTCTTTATGGAAATTCAGTGTTAAAGGCAATTCTTTGATATTTATGATAAATTTTATTACAACCTTTAGTTACGTGTCAGTTGGTGCCTGCATCGTGTTTGCTGTCTCGTTGATAATTTCCCATTTCTCCTTATTCTACGACTCGTACTGAATAAGGCATTTGGAAAACATTAATGCATCATAGATACCAGGTTTCAATTGTGTTTTTTCGTCTAAAAAAAGGTCAAAAGGCCAAATAAAGTACGAAGTTGAAGAGCTTTGAGGCCCCAAAGTTCCATATCTGTGTACAATGAAAGTATGATACCCGATCAAAAAACCGGACTAACAGCCGACATATATGTTCACATCCCTGCCAAAAGACAAAGTGTAAAAAAGCATACGAATATTTCTTTTGTATGCACGTTTTGGTGGTATAGCTCTCCGTGTGTGTATGTAGTTATACATCCATGGATTTCAATCCATGTATGATCGTACATGATAAAGGTGAACCCAAAAAAAGCAACACATTTATAAAGTTATTCAATTTCACAAACACAGTACACTTTTAATCAAATCAAGTGTCAGTAGAATCACGATAATAATAAAATCCGAAACCAGATTATTTTGATTCTTGAATGTAATTATGTTGATAAATTTGAGATATACATGTCTTTTGTTTTTTAGTTGAATTAGAACAGAAATAATAATTATAAAAAACAATTATATTCTGTAATTTGGTTTCCTATTAACGAACGCAAGAATCGTATGAAAATTCTATCTGTGAAAGATAGTGATGCACAGTTTAATAGGCTCCCTCTCATTTTCTTTTGCAATTTACTCAAAATAAGTCTTTTAGATTTAGAGTAAATATACGTTTAGTATATTTATATCAACATGTAGGTGAATGATAAAAGTCTTTCATTAACAGCGAAATAAATCCAATGTCTAACAGATTACTAATAAAAGTTAATGGCTTTTGTACATATTTTCAAACTTAAAATAAATAATATATCTATGCAAATGATCGAATGCACGACTTTAAAAGCGTTGGTGTTTGTTTCTTAACTGTTTGCGTGTCTCAGTGTCTATTTTGTGTTATATCTGTCGTCTGCTATCTCCTGGAATTGCAGATCTTTATTTACTTTGTTACATAGTCGCTTTTGATACTTTTCTAGACTTGACGTGAAAGCTTTGCTTGAAGACAATAATGTTTAACTTGGATAAGGAAGTGTCAAGTTTTTATTGGTTCGAATTCCCTTTTGATTTCATCTGGGATTTTCATACTTAATGATTTGAAATCGTGTATATAATCTACAGATTTGAATTTACGAATATATAAACAAGAAGAGCATTCCAATGGAAACACCTATTATAATAATAACTTTATATCATTTCTATCAAGTTCTTGCTTTACGGCGTCGTGAGTCACTGGTTCTATTTTTTGATTATCGTACAAATCTTTATTATTATTGTATGCAGCCATGCTTAGTGGTAGTAGACCAAAATGTACCATACCTAATGTAGTTGGTTCGGAGAGTAATTTTCTTGGTCAATTTTCAATAGGAAAGCCAAAGTAAAACACACTTGGAGCGACAACAAAAACAACTTAAATATTAGCCGCAGCGTCTAAGGATCAGTTTTAATGAATTGATAGATATTTATACAAAGATTTGCAAATTGATCAAGTAAGAATTTATCGATTTGTAAATTCAATTATGCATCATGCCAGTACCGACATACAGAATACTGGGTGAATGATACCATCAGAGACCATCAACCCATTAACATTCATGTCGTTGTAAGTTTTATTCAAGCATACATAATTTTCTACTTTCGAAGTACTTTTTCATAAAATCTAAAAGTTTAGAATTTAAAAGTATACAAGAGAAGCCACATACCAATGATTTGTAGGAGGAGGTTAAAAACGTAGGTTTTCTTATGAATACTACTCTAATTCATCGACAAATATTTAACAAGTAAAGACATAGTATTATAACAAATCCCGCACATACCGAATCTGTATTTGACGGATTACATCATCCGGAACTTGCAGTCATCCATCTGAAGTATGTACCTCGTAGTAATTAATCAAAATCGTATAAGCCGAATGCCTTGCATTTCAAGCACACATCTGGATCAACCATTAAAGGAAAAGCTCAGTAGTGAAAGTAAATATGATATTGTCCCTTTGGTAGCAATTAAAGAAATTTGGTGATGATATTCAGAACGACAAAATGTTCTAAATTGACATCTTGTTCATGTATAATAAAACAAATTTGAGAGTTTGAGTGTGTGTGTGCGTGTGTATGTGTGTTTGTGTGTGTAGTAACAGATTAGATTGTTTGATAGATTGATGAGTATCTGCATAACTCCGCATCTGCCCAAAAAGTTATAGCACGGTGATTATCAAAATAAGGACATAACCCTTTCCAGAAACAATCTTATTTAAAGATAATTTCACGGACAACAAAAGTAGATTATTAAGATCACTGTCAGTTTGCTTAGTTTCTTCTGTTACCTATTCTAACATCGAACTCGGAATTCTTTTAAACTGAGTTTAACTGTGAGTATTGATGGGTGTTTGTTTATTCTACATTGACTAGAGGTATAGGGGGAGGGTTGAGATCTCAAAAAAAAATATGTTTAACTCCACCGCATGTTTGCGCCTGACCCAAGTCATG